ATTTGAGGTGATTTCAGATGAAAATTTTGAGCTGGAATGTTAGAGGCTTGGGGAGTGTGAGGAAAAAAGTAGTAATAAAGGAGGTCATTAGGAAAGAAAACCCTGACATAGTAATAATTCAGGAATCTAAGCTAGAATAATTTGATAATAAATGGGCTAGAAGTCTTTGGAGATCTAGAGGTTTGAGTTGGGCTTGGTCACCCTCTTGGGGAGCTTCAAGAGGAATTATAATTTTGTGGAGAAATGAGGTAGTACAAGGCAAGGAGGAACTGATAGGTAGATTCACAATTTCAATTAAATTCCGACAAGTGGAGGATGACTTTGAATGGGTCTTGACAAATGTCTATGGACCAAATGGCTATAGGGAAAGAAATGAGATGTGGGAAGAATTAGGTGACATAAGAGGTTTATGGGAAGGGCCTTGGTGTATTGAAGGAGATTTTAATGTAATAAGATTCACAGAAGAAACAAATAACCAGAGACAGAGAATTAATACTAGCATGAGGAAGTTTAACCAATTTATCAATACCTGGAAATTCCTCTAGTACACCATAACTTCACCTGGTCCATATGCAACTAAACCCAATATGTTAGAAACTAGATAGATTCCTGTTTACCTTGGATTGGGAAGAAAAATGGGGAGGATTAGTGTCCCGAGCATTACCTAGAGTCACCTCTGACCATTGGCCGATTACCATCTGTAAGGAAGGAAGCTTCAGCCTGGGACCTGCACCTTTCAGGTTTGAAAACATGTGGTTGTCCCATCAGGCTTCCTAAAAAAAGTGGAGGAGTGGTGGAGAGAAGGCAAACCTAGAGCCAATTGGAAAGTAATGAGAGTCCATAGAAAGTTACAAATGCTAAAAGGAAAATTTAAGGAGTGGAACTTGACAGAGTTTGGGAGAATAGAAGAGAAGAAACAAGAAGTGATTGATAGAATTGAAGGGCTAGATAAGAAGGAAACTCAAGGAATTTTGGAGGAGAGAGATAGAGGACAGAGATGGGAGCTAAAAAAGCAGTTGGAAGACATTTTGTACAAGGAGGAAGTCAATTGGAGACAAAAATCCCAACACAAATGAATTAGAGAAGGGGATGGGAACACAAACTTTTTTCACGCCTTAACTAATGGGAGAAGAAGCAAGAATTTTATTTCCAAATTGGACACTTATGAGACTCATGTTAGTTTAGAATGTTCACAGCCGTTGGATAAGTCTGGGGAGATTTATCCTGTCAAGGCTGACACTGATGTGCCGCCAAGTGTTGGGGTGGCCTGTCTCAGCTACCAGGGTGAGACCCGAAGCACATGCAGTGTAGGATTACTTGAAACCTTGAACCGGACCAGATTTCCGATATTGCCCTGGACCTTGGTGATTAGTGGGCAAAACTGGAAAGTTACACCTGACCCCTAGACTCGATTATGATAC